GCAGTAAAACATTCAGTATTACGGCCTACAGGTGTACCATTTAGTTTTGCTTGAAGTGCAGTGATAGATCCATTAAATGGCGATCCAGCAAAAATGGCGGCTTTGAATAATTCAGGCCGTTTATGCACAGCATTAAGTGTAATAATACCGCCCATAGAGTGCGCAATAACCGTCACTGCCCTACGTTCACGACGACGATATATATCTTCTACGTAGTGAATAAATTTTGCTATGGTATCGATATTATTGCGTCTAAAATCGTAGTCGAACAAATGTACACGGAAACGACCGTTGGATACACGTGCTGCATCTTCAATACCATTGATAAACGATGAATAATACTCAATATACGTCTTATTAGTAAGATAGCCATCAGTAATAATTGGATCCGGCTCGTTATCACGTGTCGTTATTGGCAAGTGCATTGGTGGATGTATTTTATCATCGAGTAATTCTTGGGTAATCCAATATTCTTTATTATTTTGACGTGTATCGACTAATTTCGATCCAGCAAATCCATGAATAACGATGATATCACCCGATAACTTATCGAACGTTTGAGTTGAAGCGGTAGGCTGGCTAATGGTCATGGTCAATTGTGGTGATATGTTCAATAGGATAACAAATAGAACGGCAATAAAATAGATCATATTAAACATGATACAATAGCTATTGCCTTTAAAAGTGTAAAAAGGAGCAAAGGCACAAATAATAGAAAGAGAACGAACGTTTTATTTATATCCATTGCTTTACGCAACATGTGCCATTTATTCTACAGCTCCTACCTTTCTTTAGCTATCAATCAGAACAAGCCGTTTATGTAGCAGATATTATTTATTAATTAACAAACATAATAAAATACCCATATTTAATTATTATTATTATTATTATTATTATTATTGGTTTTTTATAGCAACAGAATAGAATATACCGTAAATATAAATAGGATGATAGACTAATAACTAGCTACATACTATAGATCTATTATCGCTTCCTTTTCTTGTTATTTTGCTAATAAATTGCCACACTATATAATAGGAACAAATACGCACAATGATCTACAAAAATCCAAGAGTAGAAAGGCTAGCTTCCCTGTCATCATCTACACTACTTCTTTTGGCGTAATCACTTTCTGTCTCAGTCTTTCTAACATGTTCTGCCATTCTTTACTATGCCACGTTGTTCCAATCATATACAGTCGACGTCTCCAGAAATAGGCATCCATTGATACTGCTGGCCAATAAACACGCCTCATTGACTTGGAATCCAATTGTGTTCCAATAGGTGCTGTCGTCATTCCGAGTGGGAAATTACATTCATTCAGAGCAAGAAATCGTCTCCCCCAAGCCATCATCCATACACACGCACACACACACACACAATACACACAGATTCATCCACACACACACACACGCAATCGTTCACATTCATAAACCACACACACACCTCACCATCGCGCGATTGTCTCGTTTACATATCTGCCACACATTTACTCGCACCACGCTCATCTGTTCGCTTATTCGCTTGTCGTTCATCTATATCCATCCATCCATCCATCTACTCACTTAACTCTTCCAACCCATTCGTTTATATTGTCTTTTATCATCAATCAAACAACATGTCCGAAGACAAGCGTAACAACTATGTCTATATGGCCAAGCTTGCCGAGCAGGCCGAACGCTATGACGGTAAGTAAGCAATGATGAGCGTGGTTTCAGAGCATAGAGCAGTGGTATGGGCTATAGGCTACAGATGGCCGATTGTAGACGCATCATCTGCAGTAGATGATGCGTCTTGTTCGACAGATGGGCTGCGAGATGAGCAAAAGTCGCCTCATCTGGCGATGAGAGAATCGGCCATGGTCGCGAAGTATATGCTATCATCTGGACGGTAAACGTCACAGAAATACGACAAGCTCATTACTAATAACAAACGATTGTTATTGCTGTTGCATCATGATGGCTATTATTAGAGATGGTTGAAAACATGAAGGATGTTGCCAAACTCTCGACTGAGCTTACCGTTGAGGAGCGTAACTTGCTATCTGTTGCCTACAAGAACGTCATTGGCGCCCGTCGTGCTAGCTGGCGCATTGTTTCCTCCATCGAACAGAAGGAGGAGTCCAAGGGCAACACCAACCACGTCGACAAGATCAAAGAGTACCGTGCCAAGATCGAAAGCGAGCTCCAAGGCATCTGCAATGACATTCTTGATGTCCTTGACGAGCATTTGATCAAGAATGCTGAGTCTGGCGAGTCCAAGGTGTTCTACCATAAGATGTAAGCACATAAATGCTATGTAAATATCTATAAAACTATAGATATTAATATAGATGGTACTATTATGCCAAATACTAATACACTACCTGTTGGTTTATAGGAAGGGTGACTACCACCGTTACTTGGCCGAGTTTGCCTCTGGTGACTTGCGTGAAACTTCAGCCGACGAGTCGTTGAAGGCGTACAAGGCTGCCAGCGATGTTGCCGTAACTGAGTTGCCATCAACTCATCCAATCCGTCTTGGTCTTGCTCTTAACTTCTCTGTGTTCTACTATGAGATTCTTAACTCGCCAGACCGTGCCTGCCATCTTGCCAAACAGGCATTTGACGATGCCATCGCCGAGTTGGACAACTTGTCTGAAGAATCATACAAGGACAGCACTTTGATCATGCAATTGCTCCGTGATAACTTGACCCTCTGGACTTCTGATATGCAGGATGAGGAGACCAAGGAAGAGGAGAAGACCGAGGAAAAGGCTGATGCTTAAACCGTTAGTAATCACTTACCACAACATTAAACTTGGTGAAGCGAATTTGTCTCGTGTTATGCGTGAACCTTTCGCATGTATAAGGTGTGAAAAGAATGTATTTACAGTCAAAATAAACGGCTGTTATTATTCTTCAATACTATAAAATAAGACGCGTGTCTATTGACAATATAATATAATGTATAAACTGTTTTATTCTTCAAGTTCATGATGAACACGTTTCCGGCTTCGTATACCTGCTGTAATGTCCCAGGTGTCATCCTCGCCCGAGTCGGCATCTAATTATTTATGATTTTATGTTATATATATTATATATATTGCTATTTAGCCATCAATCACTTACCAAATAAATCTGGATCCACCTGCCATGGATTTGTATTATTGTCTCCGCTGTATTGTGCCCGATTGGCCGGTATTAATCCGCGGCTAAATCGCGTAGGCTGTTTAGTACACATGGCCCTGGGTGGCTATTAATGTCGCTTACATTTGCAATTCGGGTGAAGTATCAGTGGTAGAACGACGGGCCTGTCGTCCTAATGCACTTGGCCGATATGTTTGTATACGATGGTCAAGATTAGAGGATCGATTGACGCTGTTGCCACCGCTGTTGCTAGAATGGATGTTGATGCCGTTGCTACTATTCATACTACCATTGCTATTGCTGCTGTGATGACCATTGCCGCTACCGCCGGAAAAGCCGCCATTTCCATTGCTGTATGGATGGGCATTAGAGCCTGATCGGTCCAGTATAGGCGTGCCTCTGGCCACGGTCATAAGCGTGTTTGTATCTTGCGCCAGTTATATGCATACTACAGCCTTCCCCGCGACGACTTACCGTCGACTGCCGGCACGGCCTACGTTGCGTCCGGCTATACCCAGACACTTTTCCAAATGAGGCGCGTATCGAGAGGCAACGAATTGGCGTTTGCAGTTGGTGCACTCGACAATCTCTTGCGTGTCTGGCATTGGCTTTTGGCCAAATATATCTAATCCGGGTGCGGACGCTGCAAATAAACCAGCGTAAATTGATCATGGTTACTAAAGGTTGCACTGCTAGCAGTATATGCATTCATCTGTAATCTACTTACAAAAGGCGCGACATCTGCATGTCCGTCAATACAGTGTTACTTTTGCGATAGGTGTGCTTAGTGCTAATGCACACATACACTGCTTACCGAGTTCTACAAATGCCACACTTGGCGGCAGCCAGCCGTGCCTCTCGATGAGCAGCAACTACTGCGTCCAGTACACACTCGTCTAGTAGTTCGGTAACGAGGTCCGACACCTATTTGGCGTCAGTATGTAGTGCCGAATCTCGTAGCTACTCGCTAACTTACCGCCTCTTTGATATTGCCACTAATCGGCTTTCGACTAATGTCTGACATGGTGGGTAAAGAAATGATTGTACAAAACAAAGCGCAATTCCAATCTTTCCCCAATCTATTTGCCATGTATTCGTCCTAATCAACAACATAAACAATACATGCTGAATATTTAATACACCCTGGATACGCTAAATAGTAGCAAATACTATTTTATGCAATCATAGATATAGATATATATATGATTCACACTGAACTTTCAAGCAAACTATTTGCTATATGCTACTTGTAATTTAACATTTTATTGTATAATAAAGTGCAGTATATACGGCTACTAAAACAAAAGCGCGTTATTTGCACCATTCGTTTTATGGTTGCTATACAGCATAATAAAAGAGTTTTATTACATATCATTGCTATTGAGTAGCAATCTATGTATAGCATATTGGTTAATTCGTACTGGTCATCTATGTTTTGTTTTACTAATAAAGATTATTTATTTCTAATAAAACTAATTCATAAACAATATACGATAGCAGTTAAACTGAATAACATATAACAGTGTTACTAGTCTAGTCAGTCTAATGGGAATGTATGCTAATTGTATATGGGCAAAATAACAAACAATGCTATTTGCTAATAATGGGGTGAAATGACAATTAATTAACTAATTGGTTAATTAAATTACACAATTTATTAAAGCAATCTATCCAACGTATTACCATATCTACAACACATTTACACAGCAATATCTACAAACCTATGTAACTATACCGCATTTTTTATTTTATATTAACAATCCAATAGCTATAGCGTAGCTAGAGAGTAGCTTTTTACGCAGTTTAGACAAATTTTAAATGTTTAAATAGCTTTTAAAATATGTAATGGTTTAGGACGTAAAATTAAGTAAAGGTAACATGGCCGAGCGGTCTAAGGCGCTACGTTCAGGTCGTAGTCTACTTCTGTGGGCGTGAGTTCGAATCTCACTGTTACCATTTTGCTGCGTATTTCTATACTTTTATTGCTTTCTACGCGTGTAAAACAGTAAAAACTAAAGTTCAAGTGTGGGAGCGAATATATGAGAAGTTTGATACATTTTTACCACTCAAAACAAACATATTAGCATTGATTTCAGTTCCAAATGGCCACTGTAGAAATATATCGGTAAATAAAGGTAAACATATTTGTCATTTCTATTATTTAATAGCTAGTATCGTACATATTTCAGTTACTATTAAATATTTATTTAGTAATAGGTCATTGATATATACATGGTACTGTCAATACAATGATAATGTGTGTGTGTGTGTGTAAATACCAACAACAAATATTGCCGATAATATAGTAGTATGGAATGAACAATACTTGATACAAATGAAAACTACTGAATAAATACCAATAATACTTTATTTACTATGATCAAATTACAGTTTATTTATACACGGATACTACGAAGGTAATATCAGTCACAATTACCAAATAAATTAACACAAAAAGTTTATATTTTTGCACCACTAAATCGTACAATATAGTTTAGTTTTAGTAAATGTATACTAATAGTAATCTAATAAAACGTTGATACTTATTGTCACATAACATATTTACTAAGTAGCATAGTAATATTGTTTGCACCATTATTTATTAATATATATATATATTAGTGCTTAATATATTTGTTAGTAGTATGTGTCATTGATGATTGTATTTGTATAGCCAAATAATGTCTTTATCAACATAAAAATTAATGTATTAATTGTTTTAAACGCTAAGCACAACTATTTATTCATTTTTATACTATGCAATATTAACAATAGTGCATTATGTGCGACGATATATAGTCGCTAGTACAATGAAATTGTACATGTGCAAGCTGGCCTTTAAGACTTTGCAGCGTATGGTTCCACAACAGTAATTCATTGTCTTTGTTTATGAAGTAATGTTCATTGAACATGGCAATTAAATTGTTTCTTTTTCTTTTTCTCGGCCCAAACATTTGTTTATTCTGCATTTTAAATCTCTGCATTTAGTATGTTGTCTGTCAAAACACGACAAGACGACCCAAAGCGACTTATTATAGTGCGCTCCATCGTCATTTTTTTTATATTAGCAAGTCTTGTTATTATCACTATTATCCAAGCCAAAAAAGCTGCAAATCCTGTATATATCTATCAAACAAGCGAATCAGCCGGAGCAATACCCATTCCAACCATTATATTCAATGACTTGCCTGCCACATTATTTGACGTATCCATCCAAGTGACTGGTGAATACATCGATGCCATTGGAGCCAAAAGATACGATAAAACTTTAACTTCTGCTTTAAAAAGATTGAGATGGGGTGAAGATGTAGTAGAAATATTAGACACCAACTTTAAACATGTAAACGGCCTAGTTGGGGCATCTAATGTTTGGAGTTTTCAGCCACCACCTACCTGGCAGTTTACACCGGCAGGACAATTCAACATATCCGACACTTCAGGTCAAAAAAATATCACTGAAGTCACAATCACAATTACTGCTCAACACAATATATTGTCTTCTAATAGAACCGAAAACCGTGGAAGAATTGATGTATATCTGGTGGAAGATCCAGAAGCACTTTATTCTGCACGTCGTAGGCATAAGCCATTTGATCTTAGTTCCGTTGGCGGCAATCTAAAAACAACTGTTAGTTGGGAGAACAAACGTAAAATTAATTTCCGTTATTTTGAAGATCATTTAAAGGATGAAAAGCATGTGAGATATGATGTTCACTCTGAATTAGGAAGAACTGAGCAAAATGTAGCAACAATAGTACTTTCGGCACAAAATCCAACTGCTAGTGATAAAAGATATTTTGTATACGAAATACGAAAAAGACGAGCAAACTTCTCGTGGCTGGATTGTTTCGGCTCAATAGGCGGTGCTTTGACCTTTTCTTTAGCTTTATTTGCATTTTTGTTTGGTCAACGTCGAGTACGTCCTTGGGGGATTATTCAACGGTATATATTTCGAAATCGGATACTTGGCAAATTTCCTAGATCAGTAGTTGAAATTAGCTCGATGTCTATGTCAAGAAACAGAGCTACAGCTGGGCATGATCCTGTTTTCAATCAGGATGGCGTTGGATATGATTCAAAAGTGCAGCTGAATAATAGGCAGCATAGTTTAGAAAATACTAATGAACTGAGTGCAAATATCAGCAATTATAATTATAATCAACTATTGACAATTATGAACTCATCAGTAAACCCACCTGGACAGCCTATGGCCGCTAATAATGAAGTACTTGTTCAAGAGGTCACGGAGCTAAAATCCTTAGTATATTCTTTACTGAAAGCTAAAGAATCATCAAATTCACGTTTTGGCAACTTAGACAGCGGTGAATGTACTAATATGCGCATTTCGGAGCTGGAGTCTTTTCGTCAGCGTGTAGAGTCATTTTATTTAACAGATGATTTATTTTATAAACATGAAAACCAGACTGTAAATAGGCGGTCTGCAGTGAAAACCATATCAGAGTTGAATTGGTAGTGTTGGCTGTCAAGCTTGTATATGATACACATAGTATTCTAAATGCATTTAATAAAATATTATTGATTGCACCGCAAGGCGTATTAGCCATGCTTTAATACAAATTAACAGATTTCAGGGACATATGATTATTTAGTGTAAATGATGGTATTTAAATTAAGACAGCAACCGATTTATTATTATCACTACAATGCAATTGTGCTAGTATAAAAACTGGTATGGTTTTTAAACATAACTGCCAATCGTGTCATTAATAATTTTTTCTAAATAATTATTTTAGTTATTTTTTATTTTTTTGGTTACCAGCCTAAACATACCGTATTACTGATTTGTTGGTATATTTTCTCATTACTTTATTATTATGTGCTCTTTTCCTGTTGTCATTATAGATCTATTTTTAGTTGTTACTATTTGAATATTACAGGTGATAAACAAAAGCGATAATGAAGACCCTATGGAGCAAATAGTTAATTATACAGATAATTATTGCATTTAAAAACCATATGACAGTTATTACAAAACCATGTTTATTGTGTGATTTATAAGCACAATTAAAAACTGAGTATTCCTAAAAGTAGCGTACGGTATGACTGCTTTTTTACTAATATTGCTATTTATTTTTACGATACTATAGTAAATAACGTTTTAATGCTAATAAAGTTTTAGTTAAATAAAGTGTGCATGTGTGTTAGTAAATATGGTGCTTTGAAACAAGATAATGCATTAGAATAATGTGCGCTGCAATAGTTTAAATAATATGCAGGTAGTTGTCTTTAAGCAAACAAAACAAACCAAAAAAGTTATTTTAAAGTAAACACATAGACTGTTTTATAACCGACAATTATATATGTGCTTTAGTAAAAAAATACAAAGATTAAATGAAATAAAACCAAAGAAATGATAGACAAGTTGAATTGCGAAAGTGAATGTGTAACGTCGGCTTTAGAATTCTATACTATGCCCTATTAATAGAAAATGTCTACAAAAGCAGCTGTAACACGAAAATGATACAAGTAGCACTCGAATACCCCGTAATCCCGTGATCATATAATCTAAATGTCCTTACCAGGCGCATTCATAATACGTAGTTATACCTTTTTACTTCGTCAAAATCCACCTTGCTAGCTAGCTTTCAGTACTATATTAGTTTTATTTGCGTAAGCAAGACTCTCGGATTATACTAACACGACGGCAGGCCATAAGTCCGTGACAGTAGTTCATCGCCCTTTACCACAAAACACTTTGCCCTGGATATGGCAAACAGTTTATACCTTCTATTTTTCTACTAGCTTGAGTTTTTCTAGTTTTCGCCTCCATATTCGATATGTGGTTTGCTGCAATAAGACAAAACGAGCCAATACAACTTATTATAGCGCGTATCCTTGCCATTATTTTGCTAACAGCTGTCTTTATTAATATTACTGTTTACCAGGTCAAGAAAGCTGTAGATCCTATATATATTTATCAAATAAGCGAATCAACCGGAACAATACCTGTTCCAACTATTATATTTTATGGTCCGTCTATTTCGCTATCTGACGTATCCATCCAAGTGACTGCCGATCATATTGATGCTACTGGAGTCACTGGTACAGATAAAAATTTAACTTCTGCTTTAAAAAAATTGAGATGGGGTGAGGATGTGATAGAGATATTAGACACCAACTTTCTTAGTGTAAGGGACCTGAAAGAGAACTCTAATATTTGGAGTTTTCAACCGCCGCTTGACTGGCAGTTTATGCCAGCAGGACAATTCAACATATCCGACACTTCCGGTCAAAAAAATGTCACTGAAGTTAGGATCACGATTACTGGTTCAAACAATATGTTGTTGCCCAATAGAACTGAAAACCGTGGAAGAATTGATTTATGTCTGGTGGAAGATCCAGAAGCACTTTATTCTGCACGCCGTAGACATAAGCCATTTGATCTTAGTTCTGTTGGTGGAAATTTGAAAACAAACGTTGATTGGGAAAACAAACGTAAAATTAATTTCCGTTATTTTAAAGATCATTTTAAGGATGAAAGGCATGTAAGATATGATGTTCATTCTGAATCAGAAAAAGGCGAAAAAAATGTAGCAACAATAGTACTTTCGGTACAAAATCCAACTGCTAGTGATAAAAGATATTTTGTATACGAAATACAAGATAGACAAGCAGACTTTTCGTGGATGGATTGTATCAGCTCAATAGGTGGCGTCTTTTCCCTTTTTTTAAGCGTATTTGCATTTTTGTTTGGACAAGGTCGAATAAGTCCTTGGGGCGCCGTTCAACGATACATATTTCGAAATCAAGTACTTGGCAAATTTTATAGATCAGTGGTTAGAGTTGCTCCAACACCTATATTAGGAGAAAGAACTGCAACTGGACATAACTCTAATTTCAATCGGCATGAAACTGCACATAATTCAAACGCACGCTTAGATAATAGGCAACAGAGTCCAGGAGTTTTTAGTAGATTGAGCGCAAATATCAGCAAC